AAAAAAAAAAAAGGGTGCTGCAGCCCAGCCTGACAGTATGATGCTACTTATGGGAAACAACGGCCACGCTCATAACCAGAGGGCAGAGGATGAATGAAGGGCCAGCTGCCGGGCTGGTCCACCCCAGACCCATCAGTGACATCACCATGGCAAAGCTCTCTCTGAGGAGCTGGTCTCTGGGGAAAGTGAGAGGTAGTCATTCTGGGCCTCGGCTTCTCCATCTTTAAAATATACAGAAACACATCTAATGTGTCCGTGAGTCCATATGATGCTTAAAAAGAAAAAAAAGAATTGGTCCCTAACTGGTCCTGATGAGACAAGACTGTGACTCATCACCCTGACACCACAATAAAGGGAGAAACCAAGCATCTACCCTGGGTCGCCAAAAGGTGGGAAATACTGTTGAGATTTTCTCTTTTGCAACCCCCAGTGAACACATAAGTAAATGAATGAACCATAAAAAGAACTCGGACACTGCCTCCGGATAGACAGAGGGACGTGGGGGATGGGACTGTGAAGGTGCAGGTGGCAAAACCCACCCAAGGTGTGGGGGCGCCAACACCGCAACAGTAAGGACAAAAGGGGGAGGGACTCGCAGGACTAATCAGGAGACCAAACCCAGACAAAGGGGCAAGACTGAGCCGTGTGCTTGGTGGTTCCTGTGCCATCCGTAGCGTAGGGAGGTGCTCACTCCCCAGTGATGCTTTTGAAGGGGCAGAGAGCATGATGGGATGGCACACGGAGGGGCTCCTGGGGGCCGGCCCAGGCCCACTTGTATCCTGGGTGGTGGGCACAAGGGGCTTTGGCTAAAAATGATTCATGACTCATGGAGTCATCCGTCACGTGGTTTCCTGGATCTGTGCTTTAAGTTTATACACTTTTTTAAAAATTAAAAACATTTTTTCGGGGAGCCTGGGTGGCTCAGTTGGTTAAGCGTCCGACTTCAGCTCAGGTCATGATCTCTTGGTCATGAGTTCCAGCCCTGCATCGGGCTCTGTGCTGACAGCTCAGAGCCTGGAGCCTGCTTGGGATCCTGTGTCTCCCTCTCTCTCTGCCCCTCCCTTGCTCATGCTCTATCTCTGTCTCAAAAAAAATTAAAAAAAAAAATTAGAAACACTTTTTAAATTCACAGTAAAGGGCTCAGGAGGCACCTGTCCCTGGGGACGTCTTTAGCGCTAAGTAAGATACCGTGGGTCATGTATAATGTGTGCTCGCCATGCTCCAGACACGACTTCGAAGGTCTTACACGTCCAGCCCACTTGGAGCGCTCCAAGACTGTGCGGGACCTCTATAAATGGAGAGCAGGCTCAGACTGGCTGGGACACTCGCCCGATGGGACAGAGCTGGTGAGGAGGCAAGAAAGCACACTGTGCACAAACTGGGCACATGCACTCACCTCCTGGAACATCTCTGCCCTCCAGCGGCTGCCCCAGCCCCAAGGGTCGGCCCATACCTGCAGCAGCGGGGGATGCTGGAAGCAGGCCGCTGACCCGCTAACAGGGCTTCTCTCTGGACAGCCGGGATGCTCGGTGGCCCTTTCATCCTTCTTCGAAATTTCTGACTGGTAGTTTTTAAAAGCACGTAGCAAGTGAATCTCTAGGGGATTTATGCTGGGTGATGAAAACCCAATCACCCGAAGGTTACCTACGGTATAATTCCATTTACACACTTCTGTTGTGGAAGGTCTACAGGTGGAGTGTAGGTTAGGGGTTACCAGGGGGTTGGGGCCGAGACTGGGGTGGCGTGTAGGAGGGACACGGGTGAGGGTATCAGAGGTTAACACAAGCACCCCTGTGGGTCTGAAGCCACTCCGCATCTTGACCGCGGCAGACACACGACGCTTCCCAGGTGACGGAGCTGTATCAACACGCGCACGCACATACGCTAGAAATAGGAAACCCTGAAGAGATGGGTGGACTGGGCGAGAGTCAACATCCTGGTTGTCACGTGACCACAGATGTCGCCACGGGCGAACAGTGCCCAGGACCTGTGTTCTTTCCTCCGACTGCAGCTCCACCTACGACCACTATGACCCTTGCGATTGAAAACCAAATTAAAAAAAAAAAAAAAAAAAAGGCTTCATTCTTTCTCAAAAGCAATGACCAATGGCAGGGTGGACGGAGTTTCCGGAAACACACCCGCGTGGGAAGCCCCGGGAAGCGTCACTCACCCGAGAAACGGGCTGACGAGCTGGAGGAGCTCAGAGCCGGACACGAGCTCCTGGTTGAAGAGTGCGATGCAGCGAAGGAAGTTCTCGTAGACCTCCTGGCTCTTCAGCACCCTGCGAACCTGCGGGGAGAGGGGGTCAGGGGGCCCCGGAGGGCCAGGCCCCACCCTCACCCCTCCCCTCGCTCGGCTCAGACACCGCTCGGTGAGCGCAGAGTCACCAACGCAGGCATGCTCTCGAGTGACGGCCGCGGGCCGCAGGGCAATGCTCTGTGTGCAACTGATAACGTGGCGTGAACAGTGTGTGCACGGGGCCATGTCGCTGGCTCCTGCCACCGACCCCGATGGGGGAACCACGGGACCATCCTTGCTTTAGGAAAGCCATACAGCTCAGGAGGGGTGGACGTGCATCCTCAAGCCTGCTGGGGCTCCGAGCCCTGCTGCCTCCTGCCCACGCCCCCTCTGCTGTGGAAGCTGGGTGCCGGCCCCTTCTCCAGGGCCGGCCCCAGCAGCTCCCCACCCTCCCAGCTCCCTTCCCCGGGGCTCCCATCCTGCACGTCCGAGCTGGGGGAGGCCGGCCTCGACGGCTCACCTTGTCAAAGAAGGAGAACTCCTGCAGCGTGCCATACTTGCCCACGGCAGCGATGGACAGGTCTTTGGTACCTCGGAGTTTCATTTTCTTCTGTGGAGAGAAATCCCATATGCCATGAAGGCTCCGTGCATCTTTGTCCAAGTTGCCACATCGGCAACACTGAGCTCTCCCGACAGCAACCGTCATGAGGTGCCGGGGGAGGTCTGCCCCGGACCCCTGTGGAGGAATTCTCAGGACCACCCACCTCAGCCTCCGTGGCCTGGCGAAGGGTGACGGTCACAACCGCCCTGCCCACAATCTGGGATCTAAATCTCGGCAGTTTAGGGCTTTTGATACCAGGCAGGAGCATCACAAAATTGGAACAGCAAGGGAGACGTGCCCCTGGACACGGTATCAGAACCCTCTCCCCTGCCTGTTTTGTCCTGTGGGCTGTGATGGTGGGGGCAAGGGGACGGGAAGAGGACAGGATGATCCAATCTCTTGGATCAGCCCGGGTTTAAAAAAAAAAAAAAAAAAAAATTGTTTTTAATTTATTTTGAGAGAGAGCACGCATGTGGGGAAGGAACAGACAGAGAATCCCAAGCAGGCTCTGCACAGTCAACGCGGAGCCCCACACGGGGCTCAAACCCACGAACCGCGAGATCGCGACCTGAGCCGAAATCAAGAGTTGGGCGCTTAACCGACTGAGCCACCCAGATGCCCCAAGAAGCTTGGGTTTTAAATCTCTGTGAAGACTTCTGTCTCTAAACTGGACTTAGACCAGAACTTGGCTGCACTCTTGAGGCGTTGCGGACCCTACAAAATCATCTCCCAATGCTGGGGATATGTCCAGAGGACACAGAAGCCAGCTTGAAGGGGCCCCACTGGCCATATCTGAGACAGTTTAGATGCCAAGATAAACAATGAAAATCATGGGTTATAACTCAGGGTCCATGCTGGTATAGGTAACCCGATAAATGGGGATGAAGAAAAAGTTCTTCCTTACAGTAGAAAGCCAACTAGTAAATGCACAAAATGTGATGGAAATAGAAAATCGCCATCACAGGTAATGAGTGCGACAGGAGCTGGATCTCAGCCTCTCTCACCTCTCAGCGGGCTTCTTGTGCAGTGACCGACCTGCACAACCGCACATGGTGGCCCTGCCTATGAAAGAGCCATTATGGCGAAAAGGAGCAGATTGAGCAGTACATCCTATTTCCACTGGAAAAGGTAACACTCCTCATACCAATCCTGTGAGCCAGGGGTAACAGGTAAACAGCCACCTTAGGAGTGAGCTGACATCCTAAGGTCCCACAGCTGATGAATTCCAGTCAGACCAGGGTCCATTCCCAGGGTCTGCTGCTCGGAGCCTCTGCATATTGCTCCCGAGGCCATCTACTCCCGAGGACCAGGCTGTCGGGTGCCCACATGTGTGGACACCTGTGTGCACAGCTGACGGTTACCTTGGCTGGTGCAGACACCGGACGGAGGAGCGAGGGCCGAGAGCGCTTTTTGCTGTGTTCCAGATTCTTCTCATGCTCACTCTTCTGGACGTTGTTCATTTCGCATGGTCCATTTCCCGTGAACTAAAAACACAAACACAGGAGGCGATTAGTGCTGGGTCCTTCGGGACTGGCTCTTGGCGGGTCTGAGTGCGTGGAACCACTTTTGGCTCGGCCCACGGCCCCAGTGAATGCCGACTGCCACGGGCCAGGGGCCCCGTCTGCAGCCAAGACGACTCCAGCCTCGAGATGCTCACGTTTACTAGGGGGGAGACCGTGCACCCAAATCATCGTAATCTTAACATGGTGAAGGTGCAGGAAAGGCCAGGATGGATGAGGGTCCTGACAGGTGCAGGAGGGCACAGCAGGGAGACAACAGAGTTGGGCGCACCCAACAGACCACTGACAACGGGGATGTGACTGCATGTCTGAGTGCCCCATAGAAAGGAAGAGCATTTCAGGCGGGGACACTGGCACGCACCAGCCTTGGCGGTAAGAGGAAGCAGCTAGCGGCTACCAGGGCACCTGCGGGGGAGGGGGGC